AAGCAGATTAGCATGCTCAGAGAGCAGGGCTGTCTTCTCAATATTCTGAATTATGAAGTGCATTCAAGACCTGAACAAGGCCTCAATTCTCTTCTTCTCTGTTAGCTTCTGCTAATCAATTAGAGAATAGAAGTGTTATCAAAAATTGTTATCTCTTAATAAATAAAAAACTTATCAGTTTTAACTTCTTTGTCTTTTACTTCAACACTCTCTTAATCTTCTTCTGTTAAGATTAGAGAATTGAGAAATGACTCTGGTGATAAACTAGATATAATGCAAGCAGTTGAAATTTCTACTTTTCAGAACAGTTATAATCTACTATCTGATGATAGTGATTAGATTCTACTCTACTCTCTTTTAGTATGAATATACAACAAAAACAACAAAAAAAGTTTAAAAACTCTTTAAAAATCACATTTATTCAAAATAATGTGAATAGAAACTCAAATTGCATTTATTCTTGTCTTCAAATTGCATTTGAATAAAAAGTTGATTTTGTACTGCTTCAGGAGCCGAATTTTGATGCTGAGCAAAAATATGTCATTTCTCATTCAAGCTACTACTGCTTTTTACCTCAAAAGTTTGAGATAAAGTCAAGAGTAGTGATCTATGGAAGACAGAGATCAACATATCAATTTAATCTAAGATTTGATATCATGTCTGACCCTGATATTCTGATGGGTGATATTATAGATAAAGAGAATGAGTTTGACACTATACAGCTCATAAATATCTATAATGAAAAGTCATTGAAGGAAAATAATAACACCTGAACAATTAATAGAGGATTTCTGAACATAACTCCATCAAGAAACTCTATAATTGCAGGAGATTTCAATGCACATCATCCCTGATGGAATTCAGAATGCAAAAGAGCAGTAAGAGCTGATAATCTAATTGAATGAACCTTTGAGCATTCAATAGATTTGGTTAACAAGTCTGATCAACGAACATTCTTTAGAAAAGACATGAAACAGAAATCTATTATAGATCTAACCTTCATGTCACAAAATCTAATAGAAAAAAGACTTGTAAACTGGTTTATTGATTCAAATGAGACATCAGAATCAGGTCATGAGATTATTCAATTTAATATTGAACTGAGTGAGAAATATATGAGTGAAAATCCTCTTCTCTCTAATCAGTTTAACTTTGAAAAAGCTGACTGGAAGGCAGTTGAAGAAAGTATAAAACTGTTAAAATCTGAAAGGCAGAGTGAGCTGTATTGAAACCCTGGTCAAGATATCTCAAATGAAATGCTTGAGAATAGAGTGAAGCTCATTACATCTATTATTCTAGCAAGTGTTAAAGATAATATTTCAAAGAGAAAGTCTTCTGAGTATTCAAAACCTTGATGAAATGAGAATATCACATCTAAAAGGAAACAATTGACTACTGCTAGAAGAGATTGAAAGAATGATATAATTTCTGATAAAGTGTAAGAATAAGTGCTCGCAGGCGATTATTCGGGTGTTTGCAGCTTGACGTGATATGTACTATTAACTACTAGAAGTATTCACGGTAGAAAGATAAAATGTAGAGATCAAATGTATAATAGCATTTAAGCTGAGTTATGAATAGTATTCATGAACTCCAGTCTATATAGTTGTGTGTAGTCAAGGGCCGCTAGCTCTATTGATTATATAAGAGATAGAAATAGAGATAAAGAATTCATGAGAAGCAGGATTTCTTACATATTTCCCTCTCTCTAAGGCTTCATCTGTGAAGTCTTTCACTGAGTGACTTTATAGAATCAGCTCAGCACTGCAGTGATACTCACTAAAAACCCTTCATATCTATAAAAAACCTCAGTGAGGAAAAATCCCTTGTTATTATAAAGGAAAAAGAGTCTGTCACTCAGTTTCTTATTTCATGAGATTCTTTGTAATCTACAGATTCTTCTCTGACTATCACACAGATTCATCTTATATCTTTCATACAGAAGTATTTCAGTTGACTCTTAATTATTTTCACAAGATTCTTGTATAATCATCATACAGATTCATCTCACAGATGAATCACTCTCTGTGAGATCACTCTCATCAAAGAGAAGTATTTGTAAGTTAATCTTTCATTCATTCTTATAAATCATTGTTCTTTAACACTGTAGAATTGTGAGAAATCTTTCATTCTTTTATCAACTCTGTAGAATTGTAGAGTCAAGATATTCACAGTCTGTAATCACTCTTTATAGTTATATAGAAAGATTCAGGCCTGCAATTCATAATCACTCTTATTTACTAGAGTGATCTGACTATTTCATGAGATCACTCACAGTGTAAGCAAATCTCTCTAGAGTAGTATAAATATCTCAGATCTGTCTATGAAATCTCATCTTCTTTTCTCTTTTTCTGTAACAGCTCTTATTTTTATAAACTGTGAGTATTTTCATTTATCTGTGAAGTGTTTTCACTTAGATGATAGAGAGAGAGTGTTTCTGACAATATCTGTATATTGATTCAAGAACTTCTTAAGAATAAAAATTTTTCAATTTTAATATCTTTGTAAACAATGTCTAACTACTGCTAAGCTTCTTGTGAGTGTTTCTGTGACTTCTCTGATTGCTTTTTACTGGCTGGTGAAGCAGGAGTGTCATCACTCATGACAGCATCTTCATTTCTTCCAGCTCTGTCATCACACTCAATCTTCAGACCAGCAGTCAATCCCATGCCTCTCTCAGGTCAGTCTCTGACTCTAAGCAGTGTAGTTCTCTTCTTTGCTATAAGTCTTCTCACAAGTAATTCCTTACAGATTCTAGCTGATAATTCTTGTAAAGCTCTCAGTGTTATCAGTGTCTTCTGCAGCTCTGCAGGTCTATGATCACCTTCTCTCTGTCTGCACAATCTCTGACCAGGTATATGTAAATATGCCTAGGTTTCTCATCAATGATTCTCACACTGCAGCACATTTTCACAATCTCATTGTCAATGAGAGATGAGTCCTCAGGTACCTGCAAAATCCAGGTAATCAAGGCAATGTGAATGTCATGAATTTATAACAGAAGTTGACCTGAACAGATGAGCTTTCTCTCTGTATCTTAATTGTTTTCAGACTGAATACTTCAGCATAACTGAGAGAGTGAACACAGCTTTATAAGAAATATCTGATCACACATATAGATAATCAGCTCTCAAGACTCTGCTGCAACTATACACACTCTGATATTTAACTTCTCTGAAGTCTGTGTATTTCTGACAGTCTTCACATCAAATGTAATAATTATCTGTATTACAGATATGATACTCTCTGCTTCTTTAAAGAGAGAAATTAATAGTTGTAAGAGAGTTAAGTATTGTGAATATTAAGAGTATAAATTTGAGTTTTCTTTGTTTTTTCTTTGTTAGTCTCTAAATTGTGTTCACAGCCCTGTTTTTATTTTCTTATTTTTTAGCTTTAATAAGAGTATGATTTCTTCTTCTCTTATATACATCACAGACTGTTCATCTCAGTAGAAACTCATTATTTTATAGACTAGAGCTTGTAAATAACAGTATTAATATCTTTATCACAATCAGATTCTTAGCAAAGACTGTATTATTCTGACTTATCAGAATTCACAGTATGAAAGTCATGTCTCAGCTTCTGCAGATATCTTATCTGTCTAAATAGTTCTCAAGTGAACTTATTCATCTTATCAGAATACTCTTATCACTGAATCTTAAATCAGAGCTTATGATCTCACTTCTCTGAGTTAATAATCTCTTTAACCTGATATTCTCTTTTATTCTCTAGTACTTCATAAACAGAGTAATGAGTCACAGAGTTCTCTTCTAAGAATTTCTTATATTCACAGAGCAAAGAGACATGAAAAATATTATATCTTTATAACTCAGGTGACAGTTCTAATCTGTAGAACTTTAAACTAACTTTCTTTATAATCTTACAAGACTCTGTCTGTAAGAGATTCAGCTTCTTACTAGATCTTTATATAATGATTTTTTCTAGACTCAGTCAGACTCTATCATCTTTCTTGAAACTCTTTATAATATGCTTAAAGTCATAGTATCTCTTCTGATACTCTTGAGTCTTTCTCAAGAATTTACAGACTTTCTTCTGAATCTTCTGAATTCTCTCAGCCTGTTCACAGGCATCATCACACTCTATAGTGTACTCTCACAGATTTATCAAGATCATTCATAGATAAGTTCTAGTGAGTATTTCAAAGAGAGTTTTATCTGTGCTGACATGCTTTGAGTTGTTATATATAAACTCTGTAAGTGATAATCAATACACTCAGTCATTCTGATTATAATTAATAAAGTATCACAGATACTGTTTCAATATACTTATCAGACATTCTGTCTGATTATCTGTCTGTTAATGAAAAGCTGTGCTTAGATCTTATGAGATCTTCAGTATAGTTATCAGATTAGATCAGAACTCTTCTGTAAAGATTGATTTTTTATCTGAGACAATATTTACAGACAACTCATGCAATCAGATTACATTATAAATAAAGATATGAGTTAAATTCTTTGACTTCAAGTTCTTGTGAGTATAAAGTGTGCTATCTTGATGAAGTGATTCACTATCATCAGCACACTGTCAAAGCAGGCATTATATATATTCTTGTTTTCAGAGAGACTCACAAGAGCATTCATTTCTAGCTGTTCTCAAGGTTTCTGTGAGATGAGTAGAGGAGTAAGTTCTTCATATAATCTGAATCACACTACTTACAAATTCTGACAAATAGTACAAGAATTCACTATCTTCTTCATAAGTTCTCACATCTTTGATCAGAAGTATTTTCTTATGAGTAACTCATGAGTTCTAGTATCTGTAAAATGACCTGCTAGAGAAAAGTCATGATATCTTTTAATAAGTTCTATATGTAGAAACTCATTCACAGGCATATAAATCTGACTCTCTCTTTGTAAGAGATCATTTAAGTCTCTTTAATTCTTTATTTCTGCAGAATTAATCTCTGCTGTAAGCAGTTTCTGAATATACTGAGCATATTCATTCTTCAGTTGCAGTTTAAGCAATCTGAATAGAAGATCTTATAAAGACTTATACTCTGTTTCTTCTTGCATCAGGTCTTTCATAATGCTTCTCAAAGCCTGCAAATTCTTCAGGTTATAGATACTCTTTTCAAGGATTCTCACAGAGATCTTCAGAGTGTTGACTCTCAGTGTTATAGAGAGTAGTTGTGCAGGCTTCTTCTCTCTCTTCTCTCTCTTCTCTTGTGAAGAATTGAGAGACTCTTCAGTCAATCCGAGCTTTAACCGCTCCACCACGAACTCGCTCGATTTTTCGAATAAGAACCCGCCGATAGATCCATCGAAAAGCCCTCGATCATACGAGCATTCTGACCCCATCGCCGACCGCATACCCTGTGTGGTGGTGGAGTTATCCAGCCAAACGTGAACCGGACGTCATCACTGTGTTTCATAAGATTCACATCACTGAAGAAGATGAGTGACTTACAGCATTCTGAACATGATATAGTCTCTTTGAATGAGTAGTCACACTCTTTGAACTGATCAATGCTCTCAGTACATTTCAGAAGTATATCAACTGAGCACTTCAAGACTTTCTTGATGAATTTGCATCTGCTTATCTAGATGACATTCTCATCTTCACTGATGAATTCAGAAAGAAATATCAAGAGCATGTACAAAGAGTATTACAATGACTATGAGAAGCAGAACTATCAATTGATATTGACAAGTGTGATTTCGAAGTCAAGAGTACTAAATACTTAGGTTTCATCATAGAAGCTGGCAAGGGAATCTGAATGAATTCTGAGAAGATCTCTGCTATTCTTGAATGAGAGGCCTCACACACTGTGAAAGATGTACAAAGCTTCATCAGATTTGCTAACTTCTATCAGCAATTTGTATGAAACTTCTCAGATATTGTGAGATCACTTACAGAACTCACTAAGAAAGACACAGTATTTCAATAATCAGTAGACATCAAAGCTGCATTTACACAGATAAAGAAGATGTTCATTAATATCTCTCTGCTGATAATATTCAATTCTGATTGTGAGATAGTTGTTGAACCTGATTTCTCTGACTATGTGACAGAAGAAGTGATATTGTAATATAATGATGAAGGTGTTCTATGATCATGTGTCTTCATGTCTAAGAAACTGAGTCCTGCTGAATGCGATTATGAGATCTATGATAAGAAACTTCTTATAATCATACACTGTTTAGAAGAATAAGACTCTGAACTCTGAAGTGTCTTCAAATTTGAGATAGTCACAGATTATAAGAATCTCAAATACTTCATAACTATCTGTAAACTCACTGAATGACAGATACAATGATCTGAGTTCTTAAGCTGCTTTCATTTTATAATACACGACTGTTCTGGCAGTCAGAACTCAATGACAGATGCTCTCTCATGATAAGAGCAAGATATGTCATCTGATGTAACAGATACTCACTGAATAAATTAAGAGTATCAGCTCTTGAATTTAAAGATACTAGTTAATCAAGATGAAACAACTCATAATACTATACACACTTCTTCAATTAGAACACTCTCTCTCTGAACTGATACTGACACTGACACTGATATCTCAACTTCTTCTGAATCTACACTGAATGAATTATAACATATAACAGCTCAAACTGATGAACTTCTTTAAACACTCACTGAAGCAGTATGTCAAGAAGCACTCTGATTCCCCTCAGAACTATGTATAAGAACTGACATTTCAGAATGCTCAATTGATGACAATAACACTCTATGATTCTGTGAGCAATGTTGAGTCCTCTACTCTGAACTCTTACACACTTGAATAATGCAAGAGATGCATAATTCATGTATGACTGATCATTCAGATTAAGAACAACTGTATTGAATAATCTTCTGAGAGTTCTACTGATCTGAGATATTAAACAGTATCAGATATTTTGTCTGAAACTGTAACTATTGTTTCTTCATTATCTTGTGAAAGAACTGTAGAAAAGGCCTGCTGAAACTGCTTGATATCTCTGATAGAATCTGATAAGATGTAATAATTAACTTCTCTGTTGATCTCTCTGAGAGTAAGAGCTGTAGAAATGTTCTGATCATTATGAACTGATTGAGCAAGAGTGTTATATTGAAACTCTGTGATAAGATGAATATCAAACAAGTCACTGAAGCTTTTCTAAGAAGCCTGTTCTATCAGATGCATGAATTACTGAGATCTATAGTATCAGATCAGAGCTGTCAATTCATGAGTACTCTCTGAACAAGAATCTGTCAAGTTCTCAAGATTATATACTATCTATCAACTGTCTATCACTCTGAGACTGATAATGCATCAGAATGAATAATTCAGACTGTAAAGAACTATCTCTGTAAGTTCTGTAATCACTTATAAGATGATTGACATGATCTGCTTCTACATGCAGAGATTGCTATCAATGAATGAGATGCTGTTTTAATAGATATAAGCCTGTTCTTTCTTACACATAGTTATCACATGAAGATGTTAAATCTTCTAGAGATTACACAGTTCACACTGAACCTCTGCAGTTCAATTCAGATTGCTGATAATATAGTAATAAAACTCTGAGATGCCTGTGATTGAGCAGAGGTCTTCATGATAACTGTGAAACAAGATTAAGAGAATCAAATCAATGTTCACTGAGACTCTGCTGAACAATATAAGATAGAAAATCTAGTATGATTGAATCTTAAGAACATATAAATCACATGTTCATCTCATACACTAGATTACTGTCATATCAAGTATAAAGTGATAGAAGTTCTAGATAGTCATAACTACTGTCTTAACATATTATCAGAGATTCATGATATCTTTCACACAAGCTTGCTTCATCATATCATCACTGATCTGTTTTCTTCTCAACTAACTTTCAACTGACAATCACCAGGGATCATAGAAGAAGATAATAAGCTTGAGTGAGAGATTGAAGATATTCTCAATGAGAGATCACACAGCTGTGATTGATAATATCTTGTGAAATGAGTCAGCTATGATCAACTGACCTGAACTCTGAGTTCTGTATTATCTGAAACAGTGACTCTTGACTGATGAGAACTGCTTCTGGAAAGAAGGGACTAATGTGACAGGCTGCGCCTGATCAATTATATAGACTATTCTGTACACTTCATAGATTTCTACCGCCTCATTCCCGATCACTGATCCTCAGCTGCCATGAACATGTATGTTCTGATTGCCGATCCTCAGCTGCTATGAACGCGCGTATATTCTTCCGCCCTGAAGCATCACCGCGTACACCATCACATATACATATAAATATTCACTTTGATTGCTGATTCTCACACTTTCTCTTTCTTTCCTTCTCTAATGTTTTTCTCTTTGTTATATAAGACCTATCAATATAATACTGATCTATTCGGCGTAGACCTCTTACACTGAAAGCTGTTAATATTTTCTTTAAGTCTCTTTATATTTGATAAGTCAGTAATATATTTCAATGCACTTCTTCTTTTATAATTATTATTATCATCATTATTATCATTATCATTATCACTATCATCATCATTATTATCATCATCACTATTATTATTATCATTATTATTATATCATTTCTGATCATCTCTTCTGCCTTTATCTCTCTTTAATACTCACTGAAACTAATTATGTCATCTCTCTTCAAATATTCTGCAGTTCTGTGAATCATCAAGGCGCGTGAGCACTGTCACAGATTGAAGAGAGAGAAGAAAAAGACATTTAAGTAAGAGAAGACAGATTGCAAGACTAGACTGGCCGTCAGGACTATGAATTTCATATTTGATCTCATTTGGTCTGGTCTCATACATTTCTTGGCGTGAATCCTGCTGGGACTGGCTATCAAAAAAACATATAAAGTGACTATATATCAGATCTTAAAATGAAATCATGACTTGAAAAAAATGAGAAAGTGATCTCATTTAGTCTCATTTAGTCCCATTCTTGGCATAAAGTTACTATTTTTAGACATTTTAAGGTTTTTTTTAGACTATTTTTAATTTTTTAAAAAGTAATGCTTTTTGATAACACTCAAATGAGATTTAAAGTCATTTAAAGCAATAAAAATAATTTAAATTGAGAAGTGAAAATTATGATCTCATTTAGAAAATGTGACAAGAGTAGACAGTAAGTCTCACTGAGACAGTATGAGACTACTATCTAATGTTAAAACCATGTAATGAGATCAGTCGAATTGATAATGAGACTATCAAAAAATCTGATCCTGGTCCCAGACACGGTCACACGGTCAGTCTATACAAGACACATTATAATGCCTTGAAGAGACTCTGTAAGAGAGTAGAATAATAATGATTTTAAGTAATACTTCTGATAGATTTAGACTGAACTAAGTATAGAAATAATGCAGATGACATCATCTGTGAGAGATTGAAGAAGAAGATAGTGAAGAGTCTTATACAGTAGTAATGAGATCAGAAGAAGTTCTGAGAATGATTTGAGATCAAGATAAAGAGAGAGAGAGATAAGAAGAGTGTTACTATAAATAAGTAATAGTAGAAGATGATTAAGAGAGTGTTAAAGTAAGAGATAAAGAAGTCAAAACTGATAAGTTTTTTATTTATTAAGAGATAATGATTTTTAATAACACTTCTGTTCTCTAATTGATTAGCAGAAGCTGACAGAGAAGAAGAGAATTAAGGTCTTGTTCAGGTCTTGAATGCACTTCATGATTCAGAACATTGAGAGAATAGCTCTACTCTGTGAGCATGTCAATCTGCTTACTGCTGAGATGAAACCTGAGACAGTAGATCAGAAAATGTGAGATTTTGAGATGCAGATTAATCTGACTGAGAGAAAGCAGCAGAAACTCTTCTCTGAGAAGACAGTGAAGAGAGATTTTAAGATAATTATTATCTCAGATAAGAAGAAGAAGAAGAAGAAGAATGAGAAGTAAATTATGAAGAATGATAAGAAGAATGAGAAAGAGCAGAAAGATGATAAGTAGAAAAAGTTTTTTTCTTTTTATATTAGTTAGTTATAAGTTTATAATTATTAATAATTGAAATTAATTTTAAGTTTTTAAAAATTATTGTACAAGTTGTAATCAAGTCAGGAATAATATATATATATATATATATTTAACTATCATGATTCACAAATCACTATAATGTATAAGTATCAACATTTTTTCAACATTGATATTCATAATATTAATAAATTTTTAATGATATTATCTGATAATGTAATTTAGTAACACTCTCTTTCACAATATCAATATATTTCAAGAAATATGACAGAGATTAATCAAGATTGTTTATTTACTTTTATATATCAATGATATTCAATCTGAGTTAGTACTAAAATTATAACTAAGCTAAGAAATAAGATTATTTTCTCTTATATTAATTCTTCTTA